TTATGATAGTAGTTACAATGTGTGGAAAACTGATTGTAGTGGCTCTCTGATAATTCTGAATACACAGTACACTTGTACTGCACTACCGAGAATGATGAGGTGCAAGGGCAGTTCTGTCTGAACTTTACCTTCCTGCTTAAGATGTCTTCTGTTAACACTGTTTCACTAATTTATATATGTAACTATATATATTTACACCAGATTCTATCCTTTCCCTTTGAGCTTGACTAAGGTCATGGAGCAAGAGAAGAGTAACCAGTTAATACTTTTCTCATATCCCAACACACAAATGTAAAGAACTTACTGGTGGCCTACCAGATGGTATCATTTGTGAGAACAAAACACTGCAGTCAGGGAGCAGAAAGTTCCTGGGAACTCTCTTTCTGCCCTTTTTTAAAATTGCAGAAAGATAACCAAGATTTCAGAGCCTTTCTTGCTTGTCAGGTGGTGTGACTTCTGAGGGATCCCAGTAGAGTTATTTGAGTAAAGTAGATCTGTAATTTTCCAAGTGGAATATAAAAATATTTTCTTTTTTTCCCTGATATATGTATTACATTGAGTATGATTAGACAGAGAGGAATATTAATCTTTGCTTACTCATTGATCTTTGATTATTCAACATACTGTTCTCTTTCATGGTCTATTGTTCCACTACTGTTATCAGACAACCATTTCTAAGCCTTTCCTAGCAGACCCCAAGTCTCTCTAATCTTCATGGTTCTCTGGGTAATTTTGTTTGCTTTGTCATGCTTGCTGCCCTGATTTAGCTTTCATTTTGTAGTTTATGCCTCAGCAATTCATTTTCAATATCTCAATAATCTTTGGGTCACAGTGTTGAAATATGCCAATATAGTGCAAATTCTAGTCAAAACTGAAGAATGTGGTGGAATGTTCTGGAGGTCGGTAACACTGATCTCAATAGCAGAAAAATTAATCCATTCAAAATATCAATTGTTTACAGTTATTGGTATTCCTTGGGGATTTGGGGGGATTTATTGTGATAATTTTTGTCTTTTTCATTTTGTGCTGGAAATTTCTTCATTGTTTAGTTTGGTCTTCTGGAGTGATGCTTCATAGGGGAATAAAGAAGGCCATATGAAACACTAAAATGAGTTAACTAACTAAATGCTTTTCAGTTTTTCTGAAAAACATAAGGAAGTTTTATCTAGATTAATTACTCTTTTGTTAAGTTTCTGCCTAATGTAATCTTAATCCCTGGAGGTGTTCAACTCTGGAAAGGGTCCTTTATAATAATAACTTGTAAACTAAAAAATTATTTTCAGGTTTACTGTATTTTTCTACTTAATTACTGTGACAAAAATAAAAAGGGTACTGCTAATGAAAGTGGACATATGGCTCTACTATGTACCTTCAAACTGATATATAGTAGTTATGCCCCCACAAATTCAATTATCGGTAAAGCACATTCATGCACAGATTGTGGCTCCTGTGCTTGTCTTTGATAATTTAGCCTCAATCTGATGCAACAATAATGATTTTATTTTATTTTATGGCTCCTTGTTCCCTCTAAAGTGTTTGCTGTTCCCATAGGAGCGCTTTCGCTTTACAAACTGAACAGTTATTTGATCATTGACGCTGCCACTGATTTGTGGAGTAACAGGATGATTAAGTATATTGGCAGAGTGCCTCATTTACTTACTGATAGGCAACAAGCCCTTTGTCTCTTTTCTTTTTTACGATTTTTCATCTCTTCACTTTTATACTTCACTGAGTTCATATTAGCAATTGACCTGCAATGTGGAAATGCGGGCGCGTTCCTTGATGGCTTTAGGCAAACAAGGGGATCATCGGTATACACAAGAGTGAATCAGTTTTTCCATTCTCTGTGAGAATAGAATAGCCGTTTTGAGGCATCTCAATTTGAGCTTTCCTGATATCTACACAGCACAGCGTAATTGCTTGCAGAGACTTGTCCTAATTGGCAGCTTAAGGAAAGAGTTCCAGACAGTTTTTACCCCTTTCCACATGGAAAGTTCTCCAGAGACTGTTGAAACAATTAATAGGCATTTCTGTCTTTCTGCCTGAGGTTCATGACTTGAAACTGCAGATGAAATGATAGCAAATCACACATTGAGGAGTCTGTGAACTTCTCCCAGAGCGGATGATATCCTCTGGAAAAAGACAGCTTGCAGGGAGAGGAATGCACAGGAGAAAGGAGAGGTTTCATACATACTCTTCTATAGTTCTCCCATTGGTTTATGTGTATGTGTGCATATGCACGTCTGCAAAACATTATATCTGGATTTTTTTCCCCTGTGAAAACCTTGGAGCAGTATTTTTTACTGTTGTGATCAAATTAATTGGTTCATTACAGATCCTGAAGGCTTGCATGTCATTTACTCAGTAAGGAAGTTTATATTTTCGCTTTTTTTTTTTTCAGATTAAGTTTCATTTGATTCTTTCTCTTACAATATCTCCTACTCTCCCTAGGGTTAAAATAAAAACATTTCCTAATTTGTTTCTTTTAAACTTTGTTTTGGAATGGATGATGAAAATACTACATCCCAAGAAGTATGTTTTAAACCTGGTTTCATGAAACAAGTGCTTGCGTTTTCCCTTGGTAGCTGAATGAAAAAAAAAAAATCAAAGGAAAACAATTTACTGAGGTTTTAGTATGCAGGTTTGCATAATATAGCGAATAATCTAAAGGATCATTTTAGATTCTCTCTGGTATTGAATAGACGCAAATAAGCTTTTCTTTTTTTCATACAAACACCCCCACTGATTCCTTACATAGTCCAGACTGGAGACATGATGTACTTTTGCAATGAACGACAGCATCTTTCACAATACTATCTGCTAGCTTGAACTCTAACCTCTACCAGACAGATTCACTCTTTTCTCAGAATATCCTCACTGCTACCATGAACTCTCACTCTGGCAGTCACCCTATAATCACAGCCGACACAGCAGAGGCCTCCCCCGGGAGAAATGTACGAAATACAGCATTTTTAAGTGCAAAGTGCTATTGCTTTGGGTACTCTCAGCTGCAGGTGAGAATGTGTTTGACTGGCAGGTAAATGTGTATTTATCAAAACAGGAAGGTTAGAAATAGTAATTTGGTGTTTTCATAGCATCCTTTATATTTAATATCCCATTAACATCAAGGTATATGAAAGAAACTATTTTTCAGCAGTTACATTCTGTTAAACTTACATATCCTTAAGATGCATTTTAGTTTTTTATCTGCTGATCATGCTATACACTGGTTCTAGAGAAGAATCTGGAGGACAGGCCATAGAATAAAATCAACCAAGAATCCTGCTACCACTTCTGTCACCAAGAACTATTTGCTCTTAGCAATGGCAGCACATTTATGTGTTAGACACATTATTGTGCTCAGTGGTGCCGAGAACCCTTTGTCCCACTTACCTGACTGGAAAGTTTATCATAACCATTATCACTTTTATCTACAGTGAAGGCCAGCCAACTAGGTTTTGTTATGCATAGTTACTACAGAGGACAAATAATAAAAACAATATTCTTTAGATGCTCGTTTCTTTTCCTTTTTCCCAGTTTCCCCTGAATGACATCACCTGGAATGAATTTGCACTCCAGGTATTGCAGTATTGCAGTTCTTGCCTATCTCTGTATCTCCTGTTCATATCATAAAGTATATTCCTGTTTTTGCTGTTCAGGGCACCTATCTACTATATAAACAGATGCTAGCTTTAAAGTGAGCACTTCAGCTGTGGTAGGTAGAGGCTGTATGCAGAGGTTAAGCATGCTCTGCTGACAGTGAATGTGCTTACATTTTTTAATACTTTGTTTCCTGAAATTTATTTTGACTCTGTCTGGTTATAGGGTAATGCTATTGCAATGTAATTGTTCTTTAAGGTATAATCTAAGTGTTCTTTAAGGAAGGTTTGTCAAAAGAGAAGGGTCATCATGATCAGAAAATCCTAAGGCTTACCATCCTAGTTTCTGAAATGTTTGAAGTATTTCAAAAGTTGAGGCTTTCCAGAAATTGTCTTCACCTGCCATGTACAATGGCAAGATCAGTGTCCATGCCACAGAGCTGAAAGGAAGGAGACACTGTGCTTCAGTAATTTCCTTTCAACTGTCAGTACTAGAAGCAAGAACGTGCACTTTATGAAAATTCCAGAGAAGAGTTCATGAAGTGGAAAGGAAAATGTGCCCAGTGATGGTTTGTTTTGAAGTGGGCTATGCTTAGGAGACCTGCACGTCCTGCAGGTGTCCAATCTCATATTTGGCAGTACCCATAGATTTTAAAAACACAAGGTCACAATGTTGGTCTTGTTTACATTCTTTGCAACTGCTGGAGCTAAGAGTGGAATGAAAAAGAGGGTAGTACGCCTAATTTTTCATCCCTTCAGGTGCTGGGAAAGCCCAAGTTGTGCAGTGTTGTATGGACCTACTAGTCACAGCACACTGCACAGATCCCTTGTTCACTGGCATGATAATCTTTAGAGGTCTTAGAGGATTTTTTCCAAGTAAACAACTCTATTCATCATTTCTACTGTCAAACAAAAAGGATGTTTACATGAGAACACACTGCTCACTTTGATATAAAGACAAGGCCATGCCAGTGGTGTCATGACCAGCTGTCAAGTGGGAGATGCATACGTGCTTCTCCGGTAGAATCAGCTACTGGGTTTATCCTGCAGCCTCGTGATACATGCAGCCAGGCACAGCACAGTCCTGCACCACCCTCAGGTCAGCTCTTAAGGAAATCTCTAGCACCTCAATGTACAGTAGTATTCAAGTTAGGACCGCTACAGGTGTCAAAATCAGACATATAGCTGTCTTCGTTTTGCCTTCTGAAAAAGCTGACAATCACAAGAGAAATGATAACAGCATTTTTATGTTTGTAGACCGACTAATTCTTCTAGTAATAACAAAGAAATACTCATACCTCTTGAACATGCTTAGTAATACATATTTTGTAATATAAATTTTGTTGGTTTAGCAGTAAGCAAGCATCATTAGATGTTGCATATGAAATGCTAATGCAAAGCAAGTCGTCTGCAGACTTGGGCTGTAAAAATGTAACCAGGTGTGCTAGAAGTAAAGTCAATTCATCATTTAATTTCTCTGTCACCATAAAAAATTAGTGCAGATTGCCAAATCAAGTGGTTGCCTAGCATCATAAATGCAGTTATTTCTCCTCTTTTGAGTTTTGCATCCAAATGCTTCTGTTACCCCTTACTCTGTTATAACCTCAGATGTCTCACTTTCTCTAGTGGATTTCTCACTTTTTTCTTGCCTCTCTCCCATGTGTCTTTGCAGTGGTCAGTGTACATCCGCGCTGCTGTCCGCAAAGAAAAAGGATTGCCAATATTGGTGGAACTGCTTCGAATAGACAATGACCGGGTGGTATGTGCAGTTGCTACAGCTTTACGAAACATGGCCTTAGATGTCAGAAATAAAGAGTTAATAGGTATGTTCTTTCCAAACAATCTATATATTCTGTGGGTTTGGGGGTGTTTTGGGGTTTTTTTCCAGTTTGCAGCAGAATGAGCACAATGGAAACAATTCTTCTCCCATTTCTAGAACAGTTTCTTTAATTCTTTCTCTAGTGTGTCACATTTGGATTTTATGTGACAGCTTGCTGGTGTATTGCAAGGAGTTTTTAAATTAATTAAACATCATGGAATGTTTCTTGATCTGTCATGCTGTAATCTCTGTAAGAGAAGCTATGGCTTTGTTCTGCTTTAGCACTTCATTCCTAGGCTGGTTGTAGCACTTGCATCTTCCAGATCAAGGATCTAAGCAGAACAGCGACTCCTGATCCTCAGATTACCTATTACAAGTCACTTTGGGGTCATGAAGTGACAAATCATAAAAGTTTTCAGATGGTTACAGGAATTTACTGGGCAGATTAGTAGCTCCAGCAAGAGAACTGAGAAATTCTTGATTCATAAACAAATATGCAGTTAAGAAAAAGGACAATAATTGACGTAAATTGTTATTGCCCCTGAATTCTGATGTTATGGTAAGAACACATCTTGGGGGTTTGGATTTTTTAAATTTTATTTAGGTTTCTGGTGGGGTTTTTTTAGCTGAAATTCATCCACTGTAGGTCATTAAACTTTTATTTTCATGTTCTGTTTTGAAAAATAATCACTTCAGCTTTTTAACTATTTCAACAGTCGCAGCGAAAGTATTTCTACTTCTGTACATTAAGAGCATATTTTTTATTAATTTTTGCTAACTTGTTGATTTGTTATCATTACCGCACATTTCTCTGCTATTAATTACAGAATTATGCAAATAGATATTTTGATCATAATGTTTATTATTTGTATCCAGTGCTATCTTAGGCTTGATGCTTCATTACAGCAGTGCTCTGCAAGTTGTTAAAACAAGGCAATCTCACATATGTGTTTTGGTCAACATACTAATGTTCCCAAATCTACAAATTTCTTTTGGGAAAGTAGGGTTATACATGTGAAATTGAGCTGTCTTAATCTGTTGTGCCATTCAAAACACTGGGGAAATTATGGATAATAGGTTTGCACAATCTCAACATTTTAATATTTTATTAAATTCCTGAAGAATGTGATAAATGCAAATATGAGTTACAAAAAGACGGGAGAAGTCTGTTAATTACCTACTAAATTTATTTATGTAGCTAGCTAGTAATGACTGTACTGTGCTGCCCAGGTTTAAGTAATTTGTGGGGTTATTCTGAGGAATTGTACTTGATAATTGCAATACAGATTTGCTGCAGTTTAAAAACAGTCCAAACAAGCCAATATAACCGGAGACTTGTGGCCATAATTCTTGAGCCATTTTGGCTGTGATCTTTGTATGTTCATTTCTTTGACTTTCATCATTGAACTTCAAAGAAACAGTAATAATGGTCATTACTGCTCATGTTTTCAAGTATTTTTTGGCAAATGGGGCTGATTTTCACAAATGCTAAACATCTGGAGTGGTTGAGGATTTCAGCTCATGTTGTAGGCTATCCATTTTTGTGATATCGCAGTTCCCCATATTGCAGTATGCCTTAGCTGTTGTCATGGAAAGGAGGACTCAAAAGGGGCTGCTTTGTCAGGTTAGTTGCTCAAGCATCTTTCTGCCTAAGCAGAATCAACATGCTATTTATCCTTTCTCTTTGTGATTTTTGTTTGTGCATCATATTCTTGTGGTGACAAAGTCTACCTCACAAGCTGGAATTTCCCCCTTAAGATAACCTTTTTAAAAGCTAACTTTTCCAACTCTATATATAGTAAAATTGTATAGGTAGAATTGAGTTGGTTGGGGTTTTTTAATGCGTATATAAAGCTTTCTTTTCAGTGGTGCTGTCATTCTATTCTTGGCTGACAATTTTTTTTAGATGTGCCAGAGAATGATATATTTTATTCTGCTGCTGCCAAGCAGCCCATAAATCTGTGTTGAGGCACCTGGAAGATATATCGGAAAGCTTGCTAAAATCCAGACTCACCTGTACTGAACTACAAAACAAACAAAAAGACCCTTTTTTTCAAATGGCGAGAAGTTTCATACTAGACTTCATTGAATTGACCAATCTGTTTTGTTTTTCACACAGATCTATCAACTTTGTTGTTATATTGCTAGAGGTCGGTGCCAGGCTTCTCTAATAATTTATCTAAGCTATTCTCATAGCAGTATTTTCATTATTTATAGTGAGGTCTTCTTCCTGGGTTTCATTTCAAGCATGCTCCATGTCTTTAAAAGGACCCTCTTTTTCCTCCTTCATCAGTTTTGCAATGTGCCATGTGTCCCTTGGTTGAGACAGCAGACATATTCGTCTTTCTCCTTCCCAAAATTAAACTGCACTCACTCTAAAACATGGTAAACCTGGCCTGCTTAGTACTGGCACTAGGTAGTCCAGCACACAGTTTTCCTCCTTGGGCATACTGCCCAGGTGTGGACCTGGTCATGGGTCAGACCATACTCATTTTCACTTGATTTTCAGGATGTTGTCTTAAAAAGACCCACTACTGATATTGCCTGTTTTGTTGTTCTTTGGTTTTAGCAGTCTAGGCTTCACAGCACCCCTGTGTCCCTTTGGTATCCCGGAATTTTCCTGCTTCTTTTCACATGCTCAGTAAGTGTTTTTGGGAGGCTTCTTTTCCTTTCTTGAAGCAGGTCAGGTTTCTCTGCTAAGCTTCTCCACAGGTCGATCGGCTTCTCCTCCCAGCCCCACTAGATGCCACTGAGTTGACCAAAAGTCGCTTTCATTTGCTTTTGATTGTGCACTCGGGTAGAAGAAAAATCACTTTTATTCCACAGGTCCTCTAAGAGCTATGTTGATGACCTCTCTGCAATTAAGTCATTCTCTGTGTTCTTCCATTCCTTCTTCAACTTTCCGTCTTTCTCAAGAAAAACTGGGGAGGAAGGGAAAGTAGAATAACAAACTCACTCTTCTGAGTTCCTCAGCGCTATGTAGGTGCTTTAATTTGAGGATGTGGCATTATTCTGTCTCCCCTGGAAATGTAGTTTTTTGCTTCTGGCAGTGCCTCAGCAAGATGCCACTCAGGCCAGCACCTCACAGCAGAGTTGTCCCACTGTCCTCCCGCCAGTGGGGGCACCTACAGACTTTTAGGCTCTAAAGCCACGGTTTGTTGGAATGGTATCAGAAATTGTTAACATAAGTGTTTTTCTTTAAATAGGGGAATCTTGGAGCAGCTGGGTGGGGCAGAAAGGCTTAAAAATAAACCCTTCTCCTATAATCAGCATCTTTTCAGGATGAATTGCTTTCTTCCAGTCATTCCAGCAACCTTCAGTTGCATTTGGATTCAAACACCTTCCACACTGCCCTCTGGACTTCTAGGAAACTTTCTGTGGATTACCTGAGCATGCACTGTAGACTTGTGTCCTACTTTAGATGGACTCTCTTCCTCCTTACGAGTCTCCAAGCCAGCACTGGTGCAACAACCTGCTGTCTTGCTATTCTCTCTCTACTCTCTGCATGTGAGAAGACTTTTCCAAGTCAAGATTCCCCATTCAATCCTGGGGAACAAGCCAGCTTCATCTGTCTTTTATCTGAAAGACAACATTTTTCCTCTCTACTGCTACCTACAACCTCTTTAATAAAAGAGATTATGAAATGTATAGTTAATTGAAAACTATGTGACTTGTTATGCTGCCTATACAAGCAGGTACAGACTGTCCCTTTCGGTGAAATTTTTAAAGGATGAATCTCTGTCCCCAAAATTTGCAGTTGCATTGTTCTTGTATATGTGCAACAGTTGCCTTTGATTTTAAATGACAAGTATTGTTGCATTTTAAAATGCAGCAGCTGTTTTTTGAGAAGAGTCAAGCTGATTTTTCAAGCTGACCCAGATGAGAAATTTGTCACTATTCAGGTACAGCAGAATATGTACGATATAGGAATTGTCCTCTTGAAGTAAAATTTGGAACTTATATTAGTATTGCATTTCATACTGTTTAGTGCTAAGTCCACAGGGTACCGGTGTTGGAGTAACTGCAGACCTGAAAGTAAAATTTGTAAAATTTCAATGCACAGTCTGTGCTTCAGGTCTTTCTCTCAGTTTTCTTTTATCCTGACTGTGGTTTCTAATGCTATTCTGGGTCAATGTTGATTAAGAGAAGTATTGTACTCGTAACTGAAGGGCACCATTCTTTCTCTTGGGCTCTTGGCCTGTATTTTTGTGGTTGCATTTTTTTCTAGATTTTGTTTTGGAGACTGGTTGTATTTTAATCACTCACTCTTGAAAAAAAAAAAAAAAGGAAGCCAGTTTCATCTAAGTGTTTTTGTTGACTTCTTGTACTGTGTAGAAAACTAGTCATTTTGATTCTCTGCACTTACACTGTGTAGAGGATCCAGGTGTCTATTCAGGGCTCTAGATTCTCGGGAGTTTGATGGGCTAAGTTGAAGTGTAATACTTAAGATATCCTTTTCATGGCTATTGCTGTAAAAGCTTGATTCCAGTTAGTAAAGTTAGTGATACAATTTCTGCTGCCTTCACAAGTTTTTGAATCAGGTCCTGAAACAGGACCTGTAGCAGGGGTCAGTTTTAAATAATTGTTCCTGAGTTGGAGGCTACAAGGTATCAGTACTGAATTTTTCTCCATTCACTATTCTTCTGTCAGTAACGCAGTTTTAAGATACACACAAAATTTGAGGATAGTGTATCAATTAAATTTTTACTTAATCTGTGCTGGAACTTGCTTCATCTTCCTAGGTGTCTAAAGGTTCATCACCCAATATAAGATACCTGTATTAGACTCCTTTATAGCTGACTGAGAGATACACACTCCCAGGAAGTGATTTATTTTATCTGAAATGGATCTCACTGTATCACTGTATCGCCATTGTTAAGTGATAAAAAAATTTTAGGGAGTGTGTAAATTGCCACTGAGTGTGTGTCTTGTGATCTCATGAGCAATGTGGGTCTGTTTGGGTGTCTGGAATAATTGGTGTTTGTTTCATAGTTTTATTGCTAA